TAACTACCCTAATTAACCTCCTGTTTCCACCCTTGTATTTGTTTCCTATAATGCAATGAAATGATGATTTGTGTGATTAACAGGTTACAGAGGAGAAGCTTCTAGAAGTGTTGACAACTAGAAAGCAAATCACAAGAGGAGAACAGTTTATAGTACCTTATAAATATCATGAGGTAATGATTGATTACCCAACACTAATCAATGGTTCGAGTTAATATGCAATTTGACTTTGTTGGAATGATGTGAAAATTATTTTTTTTATGATTTCTTGCTACATTCTTATGGGATTTTAATCAACTTTGCAATAGTTTGTAATATGTATCTCAGAGCGGATTTCGTATGAGTGGGACACCGTTACCGCACGGTTATCGCACAGTTACCGGATCTGGCCTTCACAATTTTGGTGAACCAATGGGGCACTAGAATTTGGTTACAGTACCATTACGGTCACAGTACAGTACCGTCCGTTTCCCACTCATACGAAATCCGCTCTAATCTGTTCCATCACAGGCTCTTGCAACAAGRGATGGCATGGCTAAAGCTCTTTATGGTACGTTGTTTGACTGGATTGTATTGCAAGTCAACCATGTGTTAGTCATCAAACAGCAAAGCCAACGAGAGGTAAACCAAATGAACGACAAATAGAAAATATTCCTGTAGTTCGAACACAAATATTTCCAGCCGTCATTCGCCATGTTATACAGTCAACTGTGGCCTTACGAACACCCCGCTATTACGGACACCTCGATATTACGGACAGGAAATACTGAACCCCTGGCGAAAAATACAAAGAAATGACTAAAAAGTAACTCCTGGTTTTACGGAACCCTCACTACTGCGGACACTAAATTACGGTCCCGAGGGTGTCCGTAATAGCGAGAGTTGACTTTCATGGTAAAACAAGGAGATGCAAATGAGTTTTTTGTAACTTTTTAACAAGTCTTTTCAGGACTAATAGACCTCTGCAGCTTTTACGTCATGTACCGTATACGCAATGCATTGTAGGAYATGTTTGGGACAAAACATGGCGGATTTCTTTTGTTTTCTCTTGAAACTGATCCCACAATGCATTGAAAATCAAGTAGTGATGTAAAAGGTTCAGAAGTCTATTGTAAATTGTGTTTTATTTGTGTTCTTAGTGGTGTTCTATTGGTGTGCTGGATATTTTTGGTTTCGAGGATTTTGAACACAACAGCTTTGAACARCTGTGCATCAACTTTGCCAATGAGAAGCTGCAATATTACTTCAATCAGCATATCTTTAAACTGGAACAGGTAGGTTTATCATCATCATCATCATCATTATTATAATCATCATCATTATCATCACCATCGTCATCATCATCATCATTATTATAATCATCATCATCACTTTTATTATAGTAATTATCATTATCATCGCCATCACCATTATTATAATCATCATCATTATCATCGTCATCAACACCATTCATCATCATTCCTATTACGCCTAGGTGGCATGTAGGGCCGCTACTAAGAATTTCCACCTCTCCCTATCCTTTGCTAGATGTTGTAGCTCCTCCATAGWCTTTCCAAGTTCTTTTGCCTCCTTTAAAATAGTTCTTCTCCATGTCTCTTTAGGTCTCCCTCTTCGTCTTTTCCCACTATCAGGGGTCCATGTTGTTGTCAACACCATTATTATAATAATTATCATTATCGTCGCCATCACCATTATTATATTATCTATTCTCGTTTTTTTGACGGTCATTTTGGTAATGAAAGTTATTTTTTGTTGTTGTTGTTCTAGGATGAGTATAACGCAGAAGGCATAGAATGGCGTAATGTAGAGTTTGTTGATAACTATGCTTGTATTGAACTCATCGCTGGCCGCCCTACTGGATTAATGCATTTGATAGATGAGGAGAGTAGGTGGGTATTTTTCTCAAATTCCCATCCATTCATTCATTCATTTATTAATACGTTTGTTTTTTCATTCATCCATTTTTTTAATTGTTTCTCACAAGTATGCATTTACACACAACAGATTACAAATACAGTGGACAGAAATTATTATTTATAGATTTGAGAGTGGCACATTATAGAGTGTGGTCACTCTAGATGTTGTATATATTTTGACTGCCATTTACAGATTTGGGAGTGGGATTTCGTTCGATTGATTTTTTATTTTACTAAAGAAAACGAAATAAGATCAATAAATGTGTGAGTAGTTAGTTATAAGATGGTGAAAATATGGAAAAAAAATTTCTAAATAATCGCTTTTATTGAATTTCCAGTTTTCCGAGAGCAACAGAGACGTCTCTCCTCGAAAAGATGAACAAAACGCATTCATCTCATRGCTATTACGTTCCCAGTCTTATGGCTCCATCGTTTACTGTCAAACACTACGCGGGAAGCGTCACTTATACGATTGAGGTAAAGTATAGTCTTGCGTTACGTACGGATACAATCTTGCGTTACGTAAGAATAAAGCCTCTGGTATGTACGGATGAAATCTTGCGGTACTGATGTAAGAATGTAGTCATGCGTTACGCAAGAATAGTCTTGCGACTACGGATCCGTCATTTATACTTTAATCTTGCGTAACGTACGGTTGAATCCTGCGTTACGTAAGGATATAGTCTCATAGACCTTTTCTGAAATACAAAATCATGATGCATTGTGGTCTAGCTTCAGTACAAACAACGCCATATTTGGCAGCACGAACAAAAGGTGTTTGTACCGAATCTAGACCACAATGCAATGCAAACTGCTATCTCAGAAAAGACCTATGGCCCACCACATACAATGTCAATTATAAAAGAAGGGTATAGTATAGTCTTGCGTTACGTAAAAATATTCCCTTACAGTTCTTACTCTTCACAGGGCTTCCTTGACAAAAATCGTGATCTCATGCGACCCGACATCCTTAGCGTGCTGAAAAGCAGTAATCTGCGTTTCATCCGGGAACTTCTTGGTAAGTCATGTGACATTTCCRAGCTKTTTTCATAATTCTAYACTTTGAGACGATACCAGAAGCCACAAAATCATACACAATGCCATACGATRTATTTAATACAGATGGCTCRTAGAATCGAGCCAATCAAATAAAAGTCTCATTTGYCTSCATCCAGGGCCTTCGATTTTCCGTCGAGAAACTCAAAGGGYYTGGGTACGAGCCTTTYCATCATCATWTCACCTCAACATATTTTTTGTCTGTAAATAATTAGGAGCTGACCCTATGGCAGTTTACCGCTGGTCAGTAGTGCGGGCGTTCTTCAAAGCTGTACATGCATTCACTGTTGCAGGACGAAAGTTCCGAATGAGTAAGTTTTTACCCATCATTCTTTGTTCATACCCATAATTCGTTTCGTACTTTTTACCCATAATTCTTCATCGAATTTGTAGATATAAGTGTGGATAATCATCAAGAGTTTGT